TTTTACCCACGACCCACGCCTTTTTACCCACGACCCACGCCTTTTTACCCACGACTTACGACTTTTTACCCACGACCCACGACTTTTTACCCACGACCCACGACATTCTACCCACGACCCACGACATTCTACCCACGACCCACGACATTCTACCCACGACCCACGACATTCTACCCACGACCCACGACCCACGACTGTTAGCTAGTCCCTATACAGGGTGTATCAAAAAAAGGTAATCGAATTTCAGCGCGCTATTATACGTGAATTACTCGGCGTATGAACAATTGGTTTTCATATTCGGAAAGATCAGGCTTTTAGCTATTGAATGACATGCTTTTCATGCCAACTGGAGAAAAAATAAGCATGTACGAGGCCGATTAAAAATGTTAGTAAAAATCGCATATTTTCACCTCTGTGCCTAATTAAAACAATGCATAAAGTCTAAAGGGGGTTAATTTTCAATGGTTTTAGACCCAACTCTCAACGGTGAAAATATGCAATTCTGACTAACATTTTTTATCGGATTCGTATTTGCTCATTTTTTATCCATAGTTGGCATGAAGAAGATGTCATTCAACAGCTTTTTAGCTGTAGCTTTATCTTTCCGAATGTGAAAAAATCTCGTTCATACGCAGAGTAATTCAGATACAATAGCGCGCTAAAGTTCGATTACCTTTTTTTGATACACCCTGTATATAGATTGTGTTAAACGTGGTTAAAAAATAAATATATTTTGACTTTGTTGTTTCTGATGACATTTGCCGACTCTCGACTTTTTACTCTCGACCGACTCTCTACTTTTACTCTCGATCGACTCTCGACTTTTTACTCTCGACTCTCGACTTTTTACTCTCGACTCTCGACTTTTACTCTCGACAACTGAGCTGTATAATAACTGGAGGACCTGCTCCTATATTTCGTTCAGTCAACAAAGTTTCCGCAAAAACATGGCAGATTTTGAGTGAAAATGACGCCATTTCCATGACAACACTTACTTTATTTTCATGGTATGTACCACTGACCAGGCTCAATTCTGAGCCCACGGCCGTTTTCACCCCCCCCCCCCTGGCTTTTGCAAAACATTTTTGCAGATAATATAGTTCTCGACTTCTCGTTGTTTTGAATCCTTTTTTAAAATGTTTTCGCGATAAACTTTCTGCCTTTGACCATTTGGTCAAAGATATCCAAGTCGTACGTGTTTAATCTCGCCCGTGAAAGACGACAAACTAATTTTAAAAACTCAAGAAATGTGGGAAAAGACGATACTTGAAATATATGGATTTACACTCGGATTTACAAAGGTAAAGAAAGTGTTTTCATATTCAATTTTATTTAGACTTTTATATCTTATTTGACATCTACTATCAGACTATCTTTTAAAAAAGGGAATTAGGTTTTGTGTTATGCACCAATTAATTTTATGTATAAGCTTGGGGTGCTGGAAGCTGTCAAGCTGATCTGGGAATTGGTGGTTTCTACCTAGCTTTCTTGCATGGTTGGGGATACTTCTTGATTTTTGTGTCATCTAAATAGTCATATAGAGGCTTGAGATAAATCACACTTTTCCCTTAGCTGAGGTTTATAAGGTTTAGCTGAGGTGTGTGCCAAGGCATACATGTGTGATCGCACCTCATTCCCAGGATGGCCTGTTTTCTTACAAGTTTTCTCAGTAAATTATCACTCTGAATAAACAATGTACTTTATAAGTACACTCATAGTTCTGATACCCCTGGTTTAAGCTGAGGAGTATGTTAGGTCACATTCTTTTGTTTACCTTGATCATATGCTATAATTATGTTGCTGGTGGATTCTTGTACAACCTGTATAATTAATCTATTCTTTTTATTGCAGATTTATTCCACAATGACACACTCCTTTGTGGGTGGCAAAATACAGTACCAAGCCATATCTTTGGAAACTGAACATACTGTATTTTACATGCTTCCAGAAATTATGTCACCTTGGCTATAGGCTGTAGAGTCATTTTCATGATTGAGACATTGGACTAAAACTCATGCCACATTCATGAAAACAAGGCTCCATAGCAAAAGTACATACACATTCTGGAAGGGTGTTCTTGACTTTTTGTAAAATTATTAGCAGTAAACAATTTAAAAAACAAAAATGTATAATTTTAATTGCTATAAAACTTATTTACACTTCAATAAAATTATGATAATCATATAATTATTTATTAATTATAATTAATTGTTATGCATGGTATTGTAATTATAACTTCATTTTGTAATTGTTCTGCATGTTCCTCTGCATGTTGATGCCTGTGCCATCTCTTTTGTATATTAAACAGATCATTTCTGCAAAAAAAGACGACATTATTATCATGATACATTATACCACAAAATATCATATACACATACTTAACCCTTCAAGTGGCAATGTGTTTTGATGTGCCTCACTGTATTATTTTTGCCTTACTGTATTGTTTCAGACAATTCAACAGTCCATTGATCCGAGCTTCTAAATTAAGTGTCATGTTTTCATATTCAGCAATGCAATTACATTCCCAACTAACTGCTAAAATATGTCAAACTATTATTAGCAAATTTTGTCATAATTTCTCACAGAGCATCGGACATCACCACTTCCAAACTATGACATCACATACTGTGTAAACCACAGGCGACCCAATCTCGCAAGGGTCAGTATAGACTAATATAGTATAAATGTATATTATAGTAATGTATATTATAGTAAAAATATGTCGTAAAATATAAATTTTAAAATAAAATTGACTTGCCTATTTGATAGTGTGTGTTCTCCTATTATACCTCCTTTGTTGGACTAATATTTGTACTCGTCACTCGATGTTACTAGTATACATGAAACATGATAAAGGCTAACGATTCCCGATCGTCGATACGACGGCACGGCACTTCGAATCGAAAATTTTCACACTCAAATCGCTTTATTCTCCAAAAAAATTCGCCAGCATGTACAACAGATGCCGTTCTTCGAAAATACGCAGATACTTCGGCGAGATGTACAAGTTTTGGACCATATTTTAACAATGGAAATCAAAACCCATTTTATATTGAACTTACCCGGACCGAAAATTACTACGGCGAACGCCTGCGCAACCAGGCCTCCTTTACCGATGGATTTACAGGGGGGGGGAGGATGCCACTAATATATTCACGATAATATTTCGAATTAAAGTATCATATTCTACCATGCTTTCCAACAAAGAGCCGCTGTATATTACTTCTTCCTTAAATTTCTTCAATCTCCGTCGTTTAGTTTTCTTTTCTTCGACAACATCTCGAGTTTTATATCGAAGGAGTTTTTATTTTGAATATCAAATTTCAAATAATGTAAACAGTCGCTATCGCGGCCGCGATTGGCTTAGCCTGCTCACAGACGTTGTAGTTCTGAAATACTACCGTCTGCTTACCCGAGCGCCAAACTGAATTCCGCTACGTCGACCAATCAGAATTTACCTTCTAAATTCTGGAAAGTGACGTCAGTTGATTTAGGAGCGGAATAAATATAAATATATATTTTGAAAGCAGTCGTCGGTTGAATTTTGGTCAAAATTGCACATAAATTGAATTTAAAGATACTGATACTTGTCCAGGTAATAAAATGCACCATTAATGATCAGATTTGGATATTAAAGATGTTCGGTTATATTTAAAACGCGGACAAGATTGGCATATTTATACTGTATGAATCTTAGCCAGACAGCATCAAATGCCGAATATATTTCGCTGGAATTTTAACGGTTTATCTTTATAAGACAACAGAATTTGGAAGACAGAAAATTTTATATAATACTGTGACTTATAAAGCGAAATATTAGCTTCAAAGTAAACTAATTTGCTGTTTGAGCAACCACTTCTGAATGTAAACTGTAAACACAACACAAACCCGAGAAACTTGTATTAAAATTGCGCCGTGATGAATTTTCCAATTCGCCCAAACTTTTCTACTACTTTTCTACATGACAATGAGAGCTTAATCTTTTAGAAGTTTTCGTCGAAGTCATGGCATATAGGAAGTATCAAGAGCAACATTTGGACATATCAGGCCCGTTTACATGCACGGTAATAATTTTTGGCCCGGCACTCTTAAATTTGGGCACGCGTACTTTTTGGGTACGGCACTCTTGTTTTTTGTCGTGTAAATGCAAGACTGATTTTTTTTTATGGGTCCGCGTACCGAAAATTTTAAGCGGGCCGAGACCGCCAAAATAGGTAGTCTCGGCCCGCTAAGGAGCGGCACCGTGCCCAAATTTTAGCTGATCTCAGCAAAATTAGTAAGAAAAAAGGGGGGAAAGTAGCGTACGATAAACAAAGATGGCGGCGACCCAGGAAAGAAAGAATAGGGGTAAAACGTGGAGTGACGAAGAGACAAGAAGTTTAATAACCCTTTGGTGCGACGAAAACATACAAACGGCTTTGGACAAGTCCAAAGGATCGAAAGACAAGAGCAAAATATACAAGTCTTTGCTGGTAAGTCGGCATTTCACCATGATATAAAAGTGATCTAGCTTCAACATAGAATCATAGATTTTATAAATTATTATAAGCTCGTTTAATTTTTCCCATTTTGGTGAGTTTTTCAGCCAACAGCCCAACTTATATTAATCTTTTTTACCAAATTTTTATATCTTAGCCAGGCTGTATAGCTGATATAAACAATTATGAACCTTTGTATTATTAAAATTGTATTATGATATTTGGGACATGTTATGTTTTTTAAAAGGAAAAAACTGCGAGAAAGAGGATATGAAGATATGACATTGAAAGAAATAATCAATAAAATAAAGAAATTAAAGCAAAAGTATGAAAGTGAAAAGGACAAGGCTAAGAAGAGTGGAAACGGGAGAAAAAAGCCATGGAAATATTTCCAACAGCTGGACAGATTTTTATCCCAAAGACACAATGTCGTTCCAGCGGCTTTACTTGACAGTATGGCTGAGGCCGACCATGAAAAAGATAATGAGTCTGACATGCAGAAAGACCATGTTGATGATGAAAATCATGACATTATTGAAGGTATTATTAAAACATGTAATCCCCGAGCCGGCGGCGCGAAGCGCCGTGCGAGGGTACTAATTCCCCCCGGCTATTTACACCCGGGGAAACGAAAGCATTAGCCAAGTCTAAAGTTCATCAAATATCGCGGGCGTGACCAACGAACCTTGAGTGGGTGGTCATCCTCACTGATCTCAAAAATATGGCGGACTGTCATGGATAGCGAACACTGATTGGTCAAATTTAAAATTTGTTGTTGTATGACAAATGACGACTTCAACTGACAGATACTTCATGAAAATAATTTGCTTTTTACACTACAGTATTTTGTACGTTTGCAAAAAACTTTGACAGCTTTCAAAGCAATTTGTTCTATAAAAAGTTTAATAAAACAATTACGGTATCAAATACCAATTGAAAAGATATGGAGCCAAATGAAGAGCGGCAAGGAAACGACAAGAAAGCCGAACGTCTAGCGAAAAGGAGGGAGCGAAGACGACAACGTTTGCTCGAGGAGACTGCTGAGGAAAGAGAAGCTCGCCTGGGAAAGCGCCGAGAAGTATGGCAAAAAAAGACTGCTGAAGCGAAAGGTAAGCAAAGGCTTGTCTTCACAATATTTCTTCACAATTTTCCAATAAAGAGTTCGTCAAGACACGTCACGCTCAAGTCAGTATAACCAGACTGTACTTTATTGATATCAGTTATCACAGCCACAGGCAATTTTATGCTGTCAAATACCGTCGGTTGCAACTAAAGGTGAACAGTTGCAGATAAAACATTCTCTATTCTCATTAAAAAGCCTGTATTAAAGGGTTTCCAGTAGGTCTCTAGCCCAACACGTTTAGACCACACAAAGTTTTTTTTTACTTATTATTGCACACATGGGAAACAACAATTAAGTGTTGTTGTTCTTGACAAACATTGGAGATTCTAATCACGCAAATGTTTTTATGAGCAACTGTTCATCGTTAGCTGCAAGCGACGGTACAACATACTATGAACATTATTCCGACTGTGACCGAATGTGCAACGATATAATTTTCAAAGTTGTTTATATCAATTCCTAAAATTTGTTTATAGTAAAACGGCCTGCTCAGCACTCACTACTCACGTTGATCTGATTTCATTTAGAAATGCAGTTACCGGGAAAGGAACTGATTCTAAAATATGTAAATTTAAAAGCATTGGCTAACAATAAAGCGATCGGTGAAGACAAGGTACAAACTTTTATAGTTGCTATTTGTTATAAAATCCTATAAATATACCGATTCAACAATAACTTTGCCTCGAATTTGCATATTCTATGCTGCATATTTATATTTTATTTTTAAAAATAAAATTGTAATACTATGAAATAAAATACATTTCTGTTTATTCAGCAGTACTTATTTAATGTCTTCTTCATCCAGTGGTCAGAGTAAATTTCTACTTCTAGCAAGTAAATATTTGACAAGCAGTCTGGAATAAGCACAAGACTTTTAATGCATCAGCCAAATCCAAGTGTGTCCATCCCCCTCGCCCAGCTATTTTCCTGTAAAGCACATCCCGGGGGTTGGGCATTTCCACTCGAACCTTAGCCCCGGTCAGGCATTTGAAATTAATAATTTGGATTCTTGCACTTCACTTGTGGAATTAATATTAGAATGTTAGGGTTTGTAATCCAAGTGAGAATATATGCATGTATATATTTTGGAATCCAAGTGAGAATATTTTGTAATCCAAGTGAGAATATACAAATGTATAGTACATGTATATATTTTGTGTATATATTTTGTAATCCAAGTGAGAATAGTTTGTAATCCAAGTGAGAATCCTAACATTCCAATTTTCCACCAAGTGAAGTGCAAGAATCCAAATTATTGAAGTCCACCTTATCACAACCCACACACCCGATTACCTAAATATACATGAACTTACGGTTACAGCTCAACAGCTGGCCTCTGTAGCTCAGTTGGTTAGAGCGCTGCACCGGAATCGCAGGGCCGTAGGTTCAATTCCTACCAGAGGACCTCGTGCTGCATTTTTCGCAGTCGTTCCTGGTTAGGTCTTAAAATGTGTATATGCTCACTTGGATTACAAACCCTAACATTCTAATATTAATTCCAACAAGTGAAGTACAAGAATCCAAATTATTGAAGTCCACCTTATCACAACCCGCACACCTGATTACCTAGATATACATTTTATAAATATAGGTTTTGCGATCACTGATAACTTGATAATAATATAAAACAAAGCACTTCTATCTGCAACTTTTACAATCACTGATAACTTGATAATAATTTAAACCAGTCAAGTTGTAGTTTAAATAGAGAATAATACATGGGTGCATGAAATACCAGATTTATTTCGAGTGTTGAACATGAGTGTGCAGCGAACAAGTGGGCGCAGCGAACGAGTGAGATGTCATCTTCAACACGAAAAATAAATCTGGTATTTCCAACCACCCATGTATTTTTCTGTTTATTATATAAAGGACAGTCTTAAATGAAAAGCGATAATTTTTACAGAAAAGCGATAATTGAAAAGGCGATAATTTTCACATGTGAGATTATCGTGAATAATTTCACATGTGAGATTATCATTTTTATCAGTGCTTGAAATCTCTGTAAAACACTATACTTTATATAATAAAAATTCATAAATTTGAACCATGCTAGAGCATGACAACAGCAAAATGCTGTATAGTATGATGCACAATATTTTGGGAGGTGAAATACAG